AATGTTTCATTCCCAGCATAACAGGTCATGTGATTGTCTGATTCAAAGTGGCCAAGACCCGTCCATCTCAATTCGCTAATGCACCTTTAGGTCTTCCAATTCAGTTTTGACAACTTCTAGTTTTCCTAGATTTATGCTTTGTACATTCCTTGTTCCAATTATTATTATTGGATGTTTACAACTGTTTCTCCTCATTTTGAGTGACTTCCAAGCTGTATCTACCACTAGTATTATGTCTAACCTCTATCTAACCTCTGTACCTCTGTCACTTAAGATTTTTGAAGGCCTGTTATTTCAGAAGTAGACGGCCAATCTTGTGTCCTAGTCTTGTCTTAACCTCTTAATCTTTAAAACCTGTCCACCTTGTGTGACCCTGCTGGCAACTGGAACTCCAGATAACCCCAGCACAGCAAACTGGCAGACAAGAGCTGCACTTATGGAGCAAACAGTTAATAAGCAAGCATATACACACATATATAAGCATACAGGGAGCTCTGGCGGCCTAGTGGTAAGAAACTGTGCTGCAATTCCAAAGGCATGTGGTTCGAATCCACCACCTGCTCTACAGGAGAAGGATGGGCAGTCTCCTCCCATGTGATTAACTGTTTCTGAAAACCTGCTATGAGTTGATTCTGACTTAACGGTACATAACAGCAACAGCATACACACCTAAGTTATAAACTAAGTAGGAACTTGTGAATCACTCCCCTCACACAACAAACTGACGGACAAGTCCATCTCTGTCAGCAATTTTAAATTTGAAAAGAGACTTTGACCCTGTAGAAAGGTGCTGTAAGATTTGGAGAGACAGACACCTAGGAGTAGAATCTTTGTTATCATGAAAACATGTCCACCTGCTCCATACTGATTAGTCAGAAAAGTAAGCCCACGTAGACCTTGTTCTCTGGGCAATCCAGTGAGCGGCACCTGTGGGACGCTAGGGTGGTCCACGAGCTTTTCGAGCTGAGTCACGTCTCACTGCTCATGGCCAACTCTCAGCTGACTTCTAATCAAGTGTTAGTTAGAAATGGCTGGATGTGTTTGCATGGTGACAGAATCTTAGAAACCCAAAAGAGTTGTCACGGATGAAGAGAAAGTCAGTGAGTCCAGAAGAGCGCAGTTTGAATCCACCAGATGCTCTGCCGGTGAAGGAGGGGCAGTCTCCTGTACCAACCAGGTCTGATTTGATGGTACACACACAAAAATAAAATTTTTAAAAAAGTTTACAGCACTTTACAGATGTTGAAGTGCTCCCACGTCATCGACTGTAATCTCTTATTGATTCTTTACCACAATCTTTGGATGCTGGAAGGAACCACAGACATGACCTGCCCTAGGTCACACTGTAATTAACTAGTGTGTCTAGATGCCACATCATCTGACGGGTAAGTTCAATTACTGTTACACACACCCCCCGCCCCCCAAATATTTAGAAAACATTCTTTTACTTCTCTGCTCCTTTCTTGTCTTACTGGCTGGGCCCGCTCCTTTCCAGCTCATCAGTCAGCTATGGTGTGATTCTGAAATAGGACAGTGAGGCGTTTCTCCCCCTAGAGCTATGTAATCGGTCTGCCTCTGTCGTGGAGCAAGCCCACTGGGCCAGCAGGGCCTTTCATGATCCACCTTGAGCTTTCTCCCCGTGCTCAGCCCTAAAGACGTTGACTGACTTCCATCACACCCTTTTGTGCGCCTCATCTCTGCATCACCCAGGGTGGCCCGGGGCATTTCCTCAGCATAAACAGGCACAGCATGGATTTGTGAAATAGTTCCACTTTCTGCAGAGCGGCAAGCTGGCAGGGCCCCTTTATTCTTCCCCCGAGGACTCTCTAACAAGCGGCTTCCTAGTTCTGCTTCTCAGCCGATTCCCCACCATCCTGGAGTTTAGCTAGTTATGAATGCCCACTCCAGAGTCACCCAGCATGAACACATGGCTGGCGGAGAAAGCGTTTCCACAATGGGAAAATGAAAAGGTATTTTCTTCCCATCTTCTTACACCTTGCCTCCCCTGAACAAGCTGAGGGAAAGGTGATCGAGCTGCTTCTAGAAGGCAGGAGAGTCTGATCCAGGATGGTATTGCCCATGGTCAAAACATGGAAGTGTGATCCACACTGGCATTTCTTCCAGCCAGCTTTCCTTTAAGACTGACATGGTGAACAACCACAGGGTAGGATGGTCTCATCCGTCTTCCTGGAAACACGTCACGCTGGGCGCGCTGATCTCTGAAAGTAGCGAGGACGATGAATGAATAGCCATTTCCTATCTGACCTAGCAAATCACCAAAGTATCATTCTGTCCCAAGGTTTGAAAAACCATTAGCGACAAGACTTTTAAACTATTATTAACGTGAGTGCTGTGATCATACCACCTTTAACACATCTTGGGGACAAAGGGTGGCCTTCCTTGGACTTAAGTGTCTTCCCAGTTAAATGGTGGGCATTCCCAGGTCTGGTCCCAGTAGTGAGTGGTCAGAGGTCTTACCATGTTGAGTTTCACTGATTTTCAATGTTCTGGGGGGAAAAAAACCCACCCACAAAAAAACCCTAACTCCAAAAACCAAAGCAGAAAACCCCCACCACTCATAGATTTGACTTGTAAGCATGTTCAAGTTTGGAACTGGAAGAAATTTCTGATTTATCTCTCACTCACTGATGCTTAGTCTGAACTGACTCACTGCTGACTCCCCAGGGGTTTTCAGAGGCTGTAAACTACATGGGAGATGCCTGCCTATCTTTCTTCCACGAAGCTGCTAGTAGATTTGAACCATGTGCCTTTTGGTTGATAGTGAAGCTCCTTGTCACTGGGCCACTGGTTTGTTATGTACCATCAAGTTGGAACCAACTCACAGCTGCTCGCCGAGTGGGTTTTCAAAGGCAGTAGATCACACGGGAGGAGACTGGCCATCTTTTTCACACAGAGCAGCTGGTAGATTTGAACCACATGCCTTTGGGGTGGCAGCATGACTAGAGCTCCCCAAGCTGAGGCTGTGCCTATCTCTAGAAGCCTGTGTTTGAGGCCTGCCTTTCCTCCAGCAGATAACCAGAGGGCCTCTGAGGGCATCAGTAATGACCTGTGTCTCCTAAAGGATCAGTTTCCCACACACAGGGATGAAATGGGAATGGGCATTGTTGGCTCAGGAAAGAGGCAGGACTTAGAAGACTGGGCTGGTCACCTGATGACCATGACTCTGCCGGTTCAAATCTGCCAGCAGCTCCTCAGGAGGAAGTTCTCCTCCTGCCTGGTTTAGAGTCTCAGAAACCCACTGGAGAGCCCGCTGTAAGTCAGCCCCAATGCCATGGCAATGAGTGCCTTTGAGTGGGGCTTCGTCTCATTTACGTTGGGCCTGTTTTTGGGAGAGGCCAGTCCTTGGAGAGAGACATCATGCAGGGAAAGGTGGAGGGTCAGAGAAAGGGAAGAAGACCCTCAGTGGATGGACTGACACGGTGACCACAGCATTAGGCTAGCGCATGTCAGAAATGGTGAAGACGGCACAGGGAGGACATGGTCCAGATCTCTTCACAGGGCTGCTGTCAGTCACATCTCACTTGAAGGCACCTAAAAACGGCAGCAGGCAAGTCGGACGTAGTCCTGGCTCAAACCAGAGAGATGTGGTCGAAAGTCCAGCTCTGCTTCTCAGCCCATGACCAGCCATGTGACCGAGCAGGTTTCCCTGACTCTTGTGCCTGGCTCAGGGCCCCTGGCAGGTTCTTGGGCATAGCCCTCTCAGGGCTCTGGCAGGTTCTGCAGCTCAGCCCTCTCACGGCCTTGGGTTCTGCAGTGCAGCCCTCTTGGGGCCTTGGGTTCTGCAGACAGCCCTTGCAGGGCCTCTGGTGGGTTCTGCGGCGCAGCCCTCACAGGGCCTCTGGCGGGTCCTGCGGCACAGCCCTCTCAGGGCCCCTGGTGGGTTCTGCAGTGCAGCCCTCACAGGGCCTCTGGTGGGTTCTGCGGCACAGCCCTCTCATGGCCTTGGGTTCTGCAGCACAGCCCTTGCAGGCAGGCTTTGGGGGCCATGAACCCTGTCGGGCGGAGACTGCCCTTTTTCTCAGGAGCCACTACTGCCTCAGAAGAGGAGTAAGCGCTGAAGTGTCCAGTGTCCACCAGGGAGCTGGCGAGCGATCCAGTGGAGGAAGACCCTGCAGTACTTACCCCGTATCTGGTAGGTAACGGGCACCCAGCAGCCCAGATGTCGGCAGCTGTTAAGAGTGACAATCACCATCAGATATGTGCCGTTCAGCAAGGTGCTCTGGGTACAGAGAAGGACAAACAAGACAATTTATTTAGTAGTCACAGAACATATCCTCAGTAGGAGGGATCAGTGTGGGAGTAAGACACAGGAGGGAAGCTCTTTGTGGCATTCTGATCCGGGTTCTTTCATATATGCACTTCTTGTTATCGTGGGAATCCAGAGGTGGACAAAGGCAGGCCACCTGAGACAGACATGCAGAGGCCAGGGTCTGCTGACCCTTGTGAGTGGGCTGGCCACAGTCCACGGAGACCAGGGACTCAGGCCCTGGGCTCTGTCCCCAACTGGACGTCGTATGAGTGCAGAGCTTCTCCCAGAACATCTTCCTGCTACAACCCCCACAGAATTCATGGGGGAAATGCTTACAGGACTCCAAGCCCACCATGCACCTCTCAGGATGCAGACCGGACAGCGCTCCAGGCCCTGGCGACATGCGTCCACTTTCTAACTGGAGTTTCTGGGTGGCCCAAGCCACTGATGTGCTTGGCAGCTAACCATAAGTTTACAGAGGCCTGGCAATTGATATCTGACAACTCAGCCGTCAAAAGGCCGTGTATGCCCGCCCGCTCAGACCACACGCAAGCCCACAGCAGCAGATGGGAACTCTCCTTCTGCCAAGGGACTGGAGGGACGGTGACAGTCCTGTCACGACACGTCTTCCTGTCAGGGACTGGAGGGATGGTGACAGTCCTGTCACGACAGGTCTTCCTTAACAGGGTCCAGCCTGTGCATTCAGCGTGTCCACTGTGTAGACAGCAGCTTAGCAAAAATTCCGCAGCAAAGGCCCTTCTCCCATCGTGAGAAGCAACTGTTCCTCAAAGTAAAGGAGCTGGTCGACCTCAAAGCACTCGCTGGCCCGCGGCACGAGCTCCTCCAGGACCTTCTGAACCTCCACGTCACTGGCTTGCTGCTGCCTTGCTCGCTTGAGGTAACTGTAGACCTTGTCAAACATCTCCGCTCCCAGCTTCTGCACAGCCGACCTGCCAAACGAATCAGACAAGATGCTGAAGAATTACGCACCGAGACCACCTGTGAGAATGCACTTAAAAATTGTTTATTATACAAATAGCATGGCAACTGAGGGCACAGCATACCCACTGCGAGCATCCAGTAATACTCAACCAAGTGTTCTCACAGACCTGCTGTGTGCCAGGCACCTTTCTAGGGACTGGGAATATGAAAGGAGACAAATTAGGCAGTCTCCACCTTCATGGAGTTTGCCTCCTCCTCCTCCTCCTTTTTTTTTAAATTACTTGCTGTGTGCTGTCAAATTGATTCCAGCTGGCACAGGGGGAGATTGCCCCTCCTTCTCCAGTGGAACATTTGGTGGATTTGAACCACGCACCTTTGGGATTGCAGTGCCACTTCTTGCCACAAAGCCACAAGAGCTCCAGAGTTTGCCTTCTAAGGTAGAGAAGAAACAGATGAAGAACTAGATACTAAAAGAGAGGGTGCTGAGTGCAGCAACAAAAAATAAAGCTAGGGATAAGAGAGGGAGAGGGGGAGGGAGAGAACACGAGCCTTTTTTAGTAAAATCATGACGCAAGCACACGGATTATCCCTCAGGCCTGATTTGGGGACCCTACGATGTTTCTGTATCTGGATGGATTTTATACCTGTTCTCCCAGACGACAATCTCAGAGTCTGCACACATGGAAGAGTCCCTTGCAGAGGAAGGCAGCTAGGCGGGGGTTGAGGGTGGCATTTGGCACTTCAGTGGGCTCTGCGACTTCCAGGGCCCTTTCTGTAAACAGGGATTCCCTTACTGTGGTCCCTGCCAGGTGTGTGTGTGTGGGGGGTGGTCTTTGAAAGGAAGGAATCACTGGCCACCCTTTAAAGCCAATGGTACTCAAAAAGCCATTAGTTTTGGGACCCAGCCACCCTTCCCATGGTTCATACAACACTAAACAAGAGTTGGAGTAAGTTCACAGGTTGCAAACCCAAAGCCAGCTGGGTGGTGTTCACAGGAAACACACAGACCACACCGGGCACTGAAGGCGAACATCGAATGAATGAGGAAAAAAACAAAACGCAGAAAAACTGCCAGGATGCCTCACCAAAAACAATCTGGAGCTAACCCTGTTACCTTGAGGCAAAATGGAATTCTTTTCCTTTGAAATTTGTGACTTGAGTTTATAGAGTTTACAAAGCAAACAGATTTTTCATTCAATCACTCATACAGACTGTTTTACAACCTTCAGTCCAGTGGCCACCGTGTAACCATATTTTACCCTTCCTCCTTTTAATACCAATTTCCCGGAATCCTTCTCTACTTGCCTATCCACCCCCCCCCGCCCCTTTCTTTCTTGTTGTGTACCATTGAATCAGACCCGACTGGCCCCTCCTCCCGGGAAGCATCTGGAGGATCCGAACCACGCGCCTTTGGGATTGCAGCGCAGCTTCTTGCCAGTAGGCCACCAGAGCTCCCTCTACTTAGCTATTTTCAAACCTAAAGACATATTCTCGATAAATTGTGCGTCACAGAAGAACTCAACACGCCCTCAGCAAGCTCACCCTAGGCTCACAGAGAAGTGGACTGTGATCCTGACGTGCAAATCCATCCTGCCACTCAGACAATGTGAGGTGATGTTTGTACAATGACGCACTTGAGCAGGTTAGGATTCCTGAAACTGAGAATTCTTTTCAAGCGGGCTCTCTAAGGTTTAAGAAGGAAGGCCAGTGCTCTCTGTCCAGGTCGAATTCAAAGAAGTATTTAAAGTTTTCTTTTGATCAGAGAGAAAAGAACTGAGTTGGAATTGAGTTGGAAACTCAATTAAAAAAATTAACATTTTTTAATGATAAGAACTTCCAGAAGAATCTGGCCAGCTGCTCCTGTAACAGTCGTGTGTGACAGTCGTTTCTGACTTGCAGGGACCCCAGAGGACACGGCAGGACTTCCCCGTGGAGTTCCCACGGCGAGACCGTGAACAAATGACCCGCTGCTCATCAGAGGGGCGTGTGACTCCGGCCGCTCAGAAGGAGGTGGCCAGTCCGCTCGGGGAACTGCCTCCACCCTGGCCGCCTGGAGGACAGGAGCTGCGTCAGCCAGAGGCCCTGAACTTGGGGAACCTGGAATCTTCACGGGAGGAGGCCTGGGGGCACCTGGCACACTGTGGAGGGAGACGTGGACATCCAAACCCTTGAAGACAGATGGCCATGGGAGTGCTGGGCCTGGGCCCATCATGCAGGGTCACTGTGACTCAGACCTGGCCCGATGGCAGTGGGCACAGGGCTGGTCACCACGTCCTTCCCTCGTGGGGCTGCAGCTGGCCCCCCACCAATCTCTGGGTGACAGCCGAGCGCCTTTGGGCCGGGGCACCCTGGGGGGCTGGGCCTTCCCGTCACCTGAGTCGACTCATGGCATTCAGCCACGGCAGGTATCTCCCAGTGCTAATGTGTCACCTCCAGGGCCAAGGTCACACACCCACCGAGACTGGGAGGAGGCGGGCAGATCCCGGTCGCCTGCCCTCACAGATATGGCGCGGGGACACAGGCTGGGGAAGTGCTCAGATGCTCCGGGGCGCAGGCGGCTGCATTTCATGCACACACCGTGCACGCTGCGGGCACGCACCTCAGTGACCCTCTCCTTGTGCGGCTCTCCTGTGAGCACCATGCACTTTAAAAGTAGGGTGTTTTCAGCGGCCACTCCAATGCCAAGCCGAGCCTCCTCTCCCCTCTGCTCGCCTCCTGCGATCTCCTTCTCAGCTCCCAGGTCCACCTGCTTACCTCGGGTGCTGCCCCGCCTTTGCAAACACCTTGTTCTGTTACTGATGTGGGTGCTCTAGCGTCAGCTGTTCCTCTGCACACATGGAGGTGAACGGTGACCAGCTAGGAAAGACCAGCCTGTGGACAGACGGCCCTCAGGCACCCTTCAAACCTGCAGCGGGGTCGTCCCTGAGAAGTGGCCTCCCAGCAAACAACAGCTGGGACAAGCGGGTGAGGTGGTCAGGGACACCAGCAAAGGACAACCAGCCCCACAAGACAGAACAGGCGGCCTCCGACCCAGAATGAACACCAGAAGGCAGGAAGGGCTGGGAAAGGCTGGCTGGGGACGGGAAACACAGGGAGGGAGAGGGGTCCGGGTCACTGGGCGTGAACACATGAATGCGAAAATAAGTCCATCTGTAAACGTTCACTCAAACCATAATTCAAACCAAACCAAACCAAGCCCCCACAGGGCACATGGTATCCTGACACCGGAGGGGGTCGTCATGGTCAGAAGTGGACGGCGACCAGTCCTGTTCTGTTTTTTAATTTTCCCCATTAATGACTGACTGCTTTGTTCTCCTCAAATTGTTTCTCTCTCTGCAAACCTACAGATGAAGGTCGCAGCTGCTTCCTTAGTTCTACAGGGATTTCCAGCAAAAAGGCCCTTCCTCCCTTTTAAATTCTTTTCAAATTATGAAACAATCTCACAATTACAGATTCATTACAGGGACAGTACAGAAAGCACTCTGGTTTTCCCGAGTCATCTGAGAAGAAGCCGCTGACCTGATATTCTTTCTACACCCTCCCACACGCTTCTATTTCCTACAACAAAGACACTTTCCTACCGGGAGGTTTCCACTGACACGCAGCTGTCGTCTAACCTCAGATCCACCGTGTGTCCCTAACAGCACAGGAACAAAAGGGCCGGGTCAGAACGGCAGGCTGCACTCACCTGCCGTGTCTCCTGTACACTCTCTGAGGTGGTGGTTGTTCTTAGACGCCAGTGAATAGTACGACTGATAGCGATGCTACGAACAACAGGCCGGAACCTGTCGCGTCCTGTACCATCCCCATGACCTCGGATACACCTGGATCCATGGCTGTAGTCACAGCATCAAGCCATCTCTTTTGGGGTTTTCTTTTCCTTTGTATGAGGTCCTTTTCCAAGGAATAGCCTCACTGAGCTACATGTCCTAGGTATGAGAGATGAAGCTTCTCCGTCCATCCTCGCCTCCAAGGAGTCCATAGTCCATGGGATCTTCAGCACTCTTCTCCAACACCACAGTCCAAAGGCACCGATTCTTCTTCTGTCACCTGTATTCATCGTCTAGCTTTCTGTTGCACAGCAGGTGACTGAGAGGACCATGGCCTGAACCAGGTGCCCCTTAGTCCTCAAACTGACCTCCTTCCTCTTCAGTACTTTGGAGAGGTCCCTGACAGCAGACCTGCCCCATGCAATACGTCTCCTGGTTCCCTGGCTGCTGGTACCAAGGGTGCCGCCTGTTGATCCAAGTGAGATGCCATCATTGTGAAGTGAAATCACGTGAGGGTGACTTCGGGTCCTGTGGTGAGAACCTCCGTCTTCTCGGTGTTGAGACGTGAGCCATACGGGAGGCTGGAGTCCTTGATCTTCCGCAGCCTGCGTTTCACGCCTTTCTCAATTTCAGCAAGCAGGGCTGTGCCATCTGCGTAACACAGGTTGTTGGGGAGTTTTGCTCCAAACCTGATGCCACATTCCTCCTCGTAGAGTCCAACCTCATGAATGATTTGTTCAGCATACAGACTGAATAGGTGTAGGGCAAGGATACAACCTTGACACACACCCTTCGAGCTAAAACCATGCCGTGTTCCCTTACTCTGTTCAGAAACAGCTTCTAGATCTAGGTATAGGTTTCTCATGGGTACAAGTATGTATTCTGGGATTCCCATTCTCAATGTTAGCCATAAATTTTTATGATCCACACAGTCAAGGGCCTATGCATAGTCAAGAAAATACAAATAGACATTTTTCTAATATTCTCTGCTTACAGCCAGGATCCATCTGACATCAGCTATGATATTCCTGGTGCCATGGAATCTTTTAAACCTTGTTTGAACTTGTGATAGTTCCTCTCAATACATTGTTCTAGTTGTTTTTAGATGATCTTCAGCAATATTTTGCTTATGTGTGATATTAATGATAACGTTTAAAATTTCTACATCCTGTTGGGTCACCTTTCTTGGGAATGGGGACAAGTACGGACCTCTTCCAGTCAGTTGGCCAGGCCGTTGT